ATTATTATTTTATTTTTATTGCTTTACAGTACTTTGTTGGGCCCTGGCCGCTTTTCCGGTTTCATAATCCTATACACAGTTGATGGGACTCCTTGGACGGAGGATCAGCCCGTCGCAAGACCTCTGCTTAAACACAGAACAACGCAAACAGAGAAAAAACCTACAGACATCCATGCTCTGGGTGGGATATGAACCCACTACCTCAGTGTTTGAGCGAGCGAAGACAGTTCATGCGTTAGACCTCGCGGCCACTGTGATTGCCACATTTTCAAAAAAGAAGCCCTTATTCATTTTATAATTCATTATTGCCTCATTATTCTCCAAAACCTTAACGATCAAAACATATATCCAATGTAAAACAACTATGCAGGTTCATTTGTATGACTGTGAAACGTCGCGTCGTTATTTCAGTGAACGGATATAAATTACGCAACGAGAAACCTTCTGACGTATACAGGCCCCATACTATTGTCGCAACAGTGATATCTAAGGGGCTTAGGTTCGACGTGTTATTCGGATGGGGAGAGCATAAAGGATATAGAATTTTGATCTTCAAGGACACAAAATAACAAGACAAGAAATATTACACAGATAAAATTCTATAAAAATATGGTGGTATCTCTACTTACATATGGATACGAAACTTGGACTATAATAAAAAAAACACAGAGCCTAAATTTTTGCCGAGTGTATCAGGCCACACAAGAAAGGATCAAATAAGAAATACAAAGAACTATGAAGAACTGAATACTTCAAGCAGATTCTAAAGAGTTCTGACGATGGTGTATAACAGTCGGAATTACTGGGTTCTGCCCACTGTCCGGTATTTTCTAGTTTTGTAGAATACCGACTGATGAACAAAGTAACAAAATCCAGTAATTCGAAATGAATACTTTAAGTTTAATAATAAAATTTTAAAATATAGTTCGCAGTGGAAGCATTACGTTCTACGAAAGGAAGATAGACGAACTTCAAAGAAAATTTTAACATACAAACCAACAAGACGAGGAAACATGGGGCGCCTACAGTTAAGACGGAGGGACCAACGAAATTTTCAAGGACGAAACGCCCAAAACAGGGCCAAATACATCGAGATGATGATGATGATGATGATGATGGTGGTGGTGGTGATAATGAACCTCTTGAAATAGTTACTGGAAAACGGAGATTGATATAATCAGAGGACGCGGATAGAGCTGGCTTAGGATCATGTCTAGTAGCAGGTTTTGAGTTACGGTACCGAAGGAATATTGTCGTTGGTGTATTTTTCTCCCTTTTACGGTACGGGCAGTAATGTCTTTTCAGGCTTCTCACATTCATTCCATCTTTTTCCAAGGTCTTCCTCGGTCACCTCGTCATTTTCTCTTATGCTGTAGAATTCGTTTGGGTGTTCTTTCGTCAATTTTTTCCCAAATGATTTATCGAGTTTCATGTGCGTTCATCTTTTCTGTTATTTTCTTATTTTACTTTCAGTTCTTTATAATTCTTCATTCTTAATAAGAACTACTTTAGTGCAGCCTTTAACTATTCTAAAATATCTTACCTCTACGTTCTGAGCTTACATAAATAAGTAAACACTCACGTATGAAGAAGTTGAAGTTTATTACAAGAAAACCGCTAAACTTGGAGTTGAGGGGGTTTACATCGATTTAAGGGGTAAAGAAGGAATATGTCTCCATATTGAAAGATTGTTTGTTTGATATAGTTACTTCTCAGTTTGAATAATTCTGTTGTCTACCGATTTTATAAAATGAGGATAATTTCTTACTGGTTAACTTATTCTAACGGAGTTTAATTACATATATGTGAGATTCACAGTTTAATCTATTGTACTGAAGCTCCAATGAAAAACTGCGTTGCTGTCCTTTCTTCCTTGATCACTTGTATTTGGTTATATTATCTGGTCAGGAGACGGTGTGGTTTACGTCATAAAGTCCGCTATCAGCATTCGCCCTCCTTCACCACGGCGTGGTCTGAAATGGAACGTTGAAGACACGCATCAGGAAAACATTAAGGCTGACAGAAGTTTCACACTCATCTTAAGCAAAGGAGCCAACGCATTGCATTTCTCACTGGTTCATTTTCTGGAGATACAAACTTACAGTTGGTAAGTCAAAAAGTGACAGAAAGCTTACGCCTATCTCAACATATAAAGACAGGCTTTTCCCTTCTCTTTTGTCACATAATGTAACGTGTAGACCCGTTACTGAGCAACGATTTCGAAACAAACAACGAAACAACATCCGCTGTTAGGCAACACATTTTAATGAGCAAGTATATGCGGCCGTTACTGACTAACGCCTTCGCTAACGAAAATGTTTCCACGAAAACGACTGCAGTACAATAATGAAAGGTGTTTTATACGTGGTCCGTGTCGATATGTTACAAGGAGGATAACAGGAATTGGATTTATTCTTCTTATTGGATTTATTGACCACTTACAGGTCGTGACTACCGGTAACTATAACAGTATAGCTAATTTTCACATTTTATAGTTCACTACAGCACAGCTAACTCTTTTCGGTCAGCTGTCACTAGTCGTTTCCTAATAATTGCTTCTAACAATGGAGATACTTCAGCTTCCGCGCTCACTTCGTTATTGTTCTGCGAATATCCCACAACTCTACTAACTGCACCACGTCTTCTCTTCACATACTCCCTTAAAACTCTCTAATTTCTTGTTAAAGCCAAAGTCAAAGTCACATTGCGACTGACGGTCGGTCAGTCAGTCATTAAGTCTTGGTGTCCAGTCCCATTTGGGGTTCATGACCAGATATTTATTACTGTGTGACAGTTACGGTTTTTTTCTGTGGGGCGCCTTTTCTGACGAGAGGACGGGTCTCGCTTTTGTATATGCTGCAGGCCCTTGCCAGCGTAGTATTTCTCGGGTCCTAGTCCCTTGGGACTCGCGACCATATTTACTGTCTCAGATTTTAAACTTCCCTTTTCGTCTATGGCCAAGAATCAAAGTCACATTGCGACTGACGGTCAGTCATGAGCCCCATTTGAGGCTCGGAACAAAGACTTACTGACTGACTGACCGTCAGTCGCAATGTGACTTTGACTTTGACAAGAATTCAGAGTTTTAAGGGAGTATGTGAAGCGAAGACTTGGCGCAGTTAGTATAGTTGTGGGATACTCGCAGAACAGTAACGAAGTGAGCGCGGAAGCTGAAGTATCTCTATTGTTAGAAGCAATTATCAGGAAACGACTAGTGACAGCTGACCGAAAAGCGTTATCTGTGCTGTAGTGAACTATAAAATGTGAAAATTAACGATACTGTTATAGTTACCGGCAGTTACGACCTGTAAGTGGTCAATAAATTCAATCCCCAATCCATACCCTTGTATGGATGAAATACATACTCTCACTCATACATGTGGCAACATAAATGACTTCATTAGCCCTGTTACCAGCCTAGTGCTGGTCAGGAATGAAGTCCTAAACTTGAAGACTGAGGATATGACAATGTCTTGCGAGCTCAGGGCTGTCGCACGCCTCAGGGGGCAATGGAAGATGAGTAGGGAGCTATGACAGAGCATCGATTGGAAGAGAAGTAGAAAGAAACTCGAAGAAAATCCTACTGCAATGACAGTTTGTCCACCATGAATCTCACATGAAGTCACCCAGGATTGAATCCAAGCCTTAGCAGCGAGAAAGAGGAGGATAATTGAGGAGCTACTCGAATGGAAAAGTAGCGGCTCCAGTCTAGAAAACCGAAATTAACAGCCATGGGGATTCGTTGTGCTGACCACGCGACGTCCTCTACCCGCTAAAGTTTGCACTTACTTCGCCGACAAACGGTGGTCGCTCGGTCAATAGTTCGCTTGCGGACTACAGGCCACGGAGTTTGTTTTGTTGTTTAGTAGCATTGTTTAGGGTTCGATGCAAGCCATTCGACTGCAGTGATCCCACCGCAGGGAGGGTCTGGATGGGACGGCGCTGTGTGTATAGAGTCTCAGCCTTTCTTTTGGAGAACTGTGTCCAATTGTTGTATGCTAGTAACTTATGAAACAATAGAACAAACTTCATAGTTTCGTAGTTGGTTGAGGCACTATGCTACAAACCGGAAGGTCGCTGGATCAATTCCCGAGGGGGTGGATATTTTCAATTGACATAATCCTTCCAGCCTCATTATGGCCCTGGGGTCGACTCAGCCTCTAACAGAAGTGTTCCAGGAATATTCTTGGAATATTCTTGGGGGTAAAGGGCGGCCGGCGCGTAAGGCTGAAAACCTTGCCGCCATCTATGAACCGATTGTCTAGAAAATGTGGGAACCTGAACATCTCACAACCCTATGGGCCTCCACGGTCTGTTACAGGGATAGCTTTACTTTACTTACTTTACGCATTTTCAAGATGGCGTGTGAATATAGACGGGTTTGGATTGACGGCTCAGATTTATTGGACTCCTTGATACAGCACGTGCCTACACTGCACAGTTCACCGTTACACACACTCTAGTTTCCATAGTCACGTCTTCATTGTCGTTGTTTGGTATCGGCTTCCAATGGCGGACGCTCCCTTCCTCTTGGTTCCCGAATTGTCCCCGGCCTTAGCTACCAGCTTCTAACAGTAACAGCTCGCACCATCTGAACCCCAGCGGTTCCTTAACTACTCACTGCAACTCAAATCAAAGTCGAAGTCACATTGCGACTGACGGTCAGTCAGTCAGTCAGTCAGCAAGTCTTAGTATCGAGCCCGTCTGGGGCAGATGACAAGATAATTATTTCTGTTTGACAGTTACGGTCTTGTTTTTGTGGGACGCCCTCTCTGACGAGAGGACTGGTCTATCATTTGTACATGACGCTGTTCTTTGCCAGCGTGGTCTTTCTCGGATCTGAGTCCCTTGGAACTAGCGACCATATTTTACTGTCTCAGATTTGAGGCTTCCCTTTTCATCGGCTCCTACGACTCGCACGGTCATGATGGAGGTATTCGACCCCGCCTCCACATAGGTTTCACTGTAACTGCGTGCTGATCCTGGTTATAACGTCTCGGCACGGACCGCTTGGAAAACGTTCAGTACAACATTGCTGTGTTCCTTTGTTGCCTTGGATACATGCTTGTTTGCGGAGCCATTATTTAGCAATGGCTGTTGTATAGTTGCTAGGTAACGGCTCCGCCAACAGACACGAACGTGAAAATTCCACGACAAAAAATGCACTGCAACAGAGAAGCGGTGTTTTCTATGCGGTCCGTGCCGATATGTTATAAGCATGAGCTGTTGGCTGGAGTCCCCGTAGTGACCCTGCGAATCGTAGGAGGTGACGAAAAGGGAAGTCTAAAATCTGAGACAGTAAAATATGATCGCAAGTCACAAGGTACTCGGACCCGAGAAAGACCACGCTGGCAAAGAACAGCGTCATGTACAAAAGACAGACTAGTCCTCTCGTCAGAGAGGGCGCCCCACAGAAAACAAGACCGTAACTGTCAAACAGTAATAAATATCTGGTCATGAACCCCAGATGGGACTCGACACCAAGACTTACTGACTGAGTGACCGACCGTCAGTCGCAATGTGACTTTGACTTTAGAGTCCCCGTAGGCGAACCCCGGCACAGGAAATATGTGTGACAATATCAATAAGCCTATTACAATGGGCTTTACCTTCTCTCTCGTGTGATTACGTATTTAGAAATAAGTGTTACTCACATCTGATAGACATGCAGTTGGCGAGTTCAAATTTGCATCGGTTTGGGAAACTCTTCATGACTCCAGTTTCGTCCACTGCACAGACGGGCTTGTACTGCTCTTCACACACGAATTCACATTGCCACCACAGGGACCGATTTGGCAAAGGAGTCTGTACCGCAGATTTCACAGTCAGCAAACCTTGAAATCAGAAAGTAATGTAGAATTAGACGAACCCATTGATGCTACTGTGTTTACTCAACGTCGCTTTTTATTTCTCGATACTAGCGTCTTCCTTGCTGACCAACCTCTAGACATAACTATCAAAATCAGTGTTATATACTGATAACTTAATGTTTTATAAGAATGCCGAATTTTAATTAATGTAATTACATAATACCCCTACGTGTCCTTCCTGGTTTATTTGTCCATATGATTATGTGAGGTTAAACATCAAAACAACAACAAAATATGGGGTTTCCAATCAATCAATATTTATCAGACTGAATTTTATTTCTTACCGCTACATGTTTCGGTCCTCATGCGACCATCGTCAGACAGTGTTACATAACACGACTTAGGTTAATTGAACTCTCAATATGGATCCATAGTGTGGTGCAACGCGTCTGTATTATAGAAGTTATGCCTTATGTTATAATATGATAATTACAATATATTTTTTTCCCCCTTGGCACTACAGCCCCAGTGGGCCTAGGCCTACCTCCATGAAACTCTCAGTTTCACTTCGGTTTACTAGATCTTAGACATTCGGTAGGACTCCTTGGGCGAGTGATCAGCTCGTCGCAAGGCCTCTACCTGTACACAAACACAGAAAAACGCACACAAACATCCATGCCCTGAGTGGGATTCGAACCCACGATCCCGGCTTCCGAGCGAGCGAAGACAGTGCATGCCTTAGACCGCTCGGCTACCGTGACCGGCAATTACAATATTACCATTATCAAAATATTAGAAGTTTACAAGGAATTTGTATTTAAATATATTAGCAGATATCGAAGGTGATTAATATGACCGAAAGATACTGTATATTAACAACAGAGAATTACAAATAAAAATTAAACTTTACACAAGTAAAATAAATGAACAATATTAAAAATTAGGGAATATATGGTTAAAATGTGAATCCGCGTTGTTTAAGCCTCTCATAATGTGGAAGTTATTTCGCCCGGAGTTGTGCTGTATAAAAAATATTTATGGATGCTATTACCTTGGGGCTGTTACGGTATGTTAATATTACATGCAGTATATCATCTTGGGTGTAAGTCGTAATATATTGTTATCGCAAATATGTGTGTGTCTTCCTTCCGTATGGGCTTCGTATGCGTCGTTGTTTGGTGCAACGTGGGCTGCCTGATGATGGTCCCATGAGGGCAGAGACATGTAGCGGTAAGAAACAAAATTCAACGTTAGAAATATTATTTGATTGAAACCCAATTTTTGTTATGTTGACGGATAACCTTACTTAACCATACGTTTTTGACACACAACAGGACGCAAACTGCGAAAATTATTTTTATTTGATTGTTGGGGATTCGAAGTTCTTACAGCGGTGAGTCTGAAGAGCGTTAGCTTCTGAGACGTGATGCCTTGTATGTACCCTGGTGGACGTTTAGCGACGTTTCTGAAGAACGTATTGCTTACATTTTCAGGTGTGAAGAATAGGCCCAAGCAAGCAAGGGACAAATACTCCACTCAGATTACTTTCAGGTTACACGGTGTCACAGTCCAGAAGATATTACTCTTCCTATTTAAAGTGTCGGTGTTCAGATCGCTTGAACACAAACTCGAGTTCTCCTCATGGTCCCCTCGTTGACAACTGCTTGTCAGTGTTATCTCTGGTCGTCCTGTTCGTGATATAAATAGCACAAAAGCGTCTACTATCATACTGGGGCTGACGAAACAAGATCTTGCCAAGTTCTGCAGTCAATGACATTTATATTAACTAGCTTAATGTCGGTCAGTGGAATAAATTGCGACACATCACTGACTACGTGACAGGCGCCATTAAATCACTCAGGCTATGAGTTTTTTGCAAGACATGAGCGCTTCAAAGAGAGGTAGTGTTTTGTCAGTTCGATTATGTTTCATCATTCAGATAAGTTAATGGATTTTGAATAAATGTGGTGTGATAGTCCTGCACTGGACACTGCGTTCTCGTGTGACAGGCTGCTTCCATCTTCATCCTTATCGGTCCACTGTAACCTCTGCTTTACATGAACCTGAACTCGAGCGTCATCGAAATACTTACGATTCAGCGCAACAGAAAGGATTAGGCACCATATTGTATACATTGACAGACTCCATACAGCAGATAATTTTTGAGAGTTAATAGTCACTTCACTAATAAAAAAATTCACCGTATGATTTTCGTACCGTAAGGTGTATCACCTTGTTCATAAGATCACGCTACTAATCCTTGTTCTTATACGTACAGTTGCAGTGCACATTATATTCTCCCATTTCTTGAAACCCATTTTAGTATTATCCTCTTATCCAGACCTAGGTCTCACAAGCTGTTCCTTCTTTTCGGGATTTCCGACCGAAAATTTGCATATTTCATCTACCACCATTTGTGCTATATGCCCTGTTTATCTCATCCTACTTGATTTGGTCACCCTTGTAACATCCGGTTAAGATTAGCTTACTGTATATTACATGAGAGACTGTACAAGAAGGAAAGTTGATGCCGATATTGTGAGGCTTGATAAATATAACGGCATTAATGCGTCGATCCTAATTTCTAAAAAATAAAACAAAGATAGAAAAGAGGAAGAAGCTACATTTTCCTGAAACATTTTGCCGGTAATGTCATTCTCAGTTTTAGCCTCAAGACTGAAATATATATTGCACCGGCAGATATGCAGTTTTTGACAAATTTGCCGCTAGGCATCAGTTGTTTGCCAATAAATCATGAACTGCAATTTTATGTAGCACTACCTGTATAAAGGCCGCGCCATAGCTCAAGCGGTTAGTCGCTGGCTTCCCATCGCGGCGGCCCGGGTTCGATCCCGGGTCTGGTCAAGTGGGATTTGTGGTGGACAAAGTGGCGATGGGGCAGGTTTTCTCCGAGTACTTCGGTTTCCCCTGCCGATCTTCTTTCCACCAATTGCTCCACAATCACCCTCACCTGTCATCTGGGGCTGGTACAATAGGCCAGAAGTGGCCGCAGTACAAGGGACTTAGTCCCACCCCACTAGCAATAAAAAAAACTACCTGCTTTAAACAAAAATCTGTAGAAAACTGCACATGTCAGATCCTCTCGAATTCAAGTATATACAAATTATATTTTATTAGCCTGCTCTACATTTCACACCTACAGTGATTAATATAGAAATACCGAAATGAAGAGAAAGCGTAGCAAAAGCAGAAGTGATGCGCCGGTCTACTCAGAAGAAGTGCCAATGTTAGTCAATGACTTTCGGCTGCTAGCTCTAAAATAAAATCCCAGACTCCTTTACTGGTTTCACTTAACCCATACACCGCCTCTGATGTAACTGGACGTCACGCTTACATAAAGGAAACAAAAGTATCCTAGTGACCGAGTACTTACATATCAGGAGTAGCGTTGTTGTTAGTTTCATGATGTTGATTTCACTTTCTGGAACTTTCTCTTTTCTCAAGACGTCTAGGGAGACTGTCACTTTCCGGAAGTCTGAGGCCTGTGTGTGCCTGTGATATGTGAGGTCCTTGCCGCCAAGATATATGTGCACCACTCACACACTCATTCACGACAGCTCCACTATCTCCCTCTCGGGCTCATAAATCACAGACTGGTAAAACTTCAGAAATTTTCCAATATATATAACATAATATTAATTATGGCGATGATTCACTATAGTGATGTATACAAATAACGTGACCTAGTTAATTGCGTAATACTAATGTTGTAGTAGAACCAGAAGGTTCAGCATCTCTGACACAAAACGCCAGAAATAGACCCAATCCTGAGTCAGCTTCTTGCACCCCTCATATTTATAGCCTGCCTTCCAGAGATCCCTCCTAATGTTAGTCCCATCCCTTGGGATTCTAACATAATTCGCCCCTCCTCAAACCGTTTCAACAACCAAATGTTTTATGCATCACTAGTAGCCCCAGTCCTAGCCGTAGCTTCGAAACATTACCACTCTATAGCTCTACAGCCCTTGTGGACCTTGGCCATTCTTTCAGTCTCTTAATCTCCTTGGACGGGGGATCAGCCCATCGCAAGAACTCTACCTACACACAGAACAACAGAAAGAGATAAAAAAGGTAAACAGACATCCATGCCTTGAGTGGGATTCGAACCCATTACCCCAGCGTTCGGGCGAGCGAAGGCACTTTATACCTTAGACGCCTTAGACCAAGCGGCCAATGTGTTTGGCATCAGTTGACCTATACATAAGAGAAACTGCAGGAGAAGGAACTTGTCCCGGTAAGGCACTTTATACCTTAGACCAAGCGGTCAATGTGTTTGGCATCAGTTGACCTATACATAAGAGAAATTGCAGGAGAAGGAACTTGTCCCAGTTATACACCTAACCTAATACTTTCTTGAGTGCATTGTTTTCAGACACATGTAATGTATATTCTTTGCTGAGAGTAAAAGACCATATTTTATACCTACATAAACAATGAGATTTTTTTTTCTGCTGTCTTCACTTTTTCGGAAATTAGGAGGGAAGACAATGGATTTCAAATGAATACCATAAGTATTTCGAGAATTTTAATTTTGCCACTTCTTCGAAGGATGTTCAGTTTGAACTTTATGTAAAGTATAAATCATATTAGACGTAATATGGACCCAAAATGAATCATTTCTTACGACTATTTTGAGTAGGTCACTCCAGTAGCATGCTTCTACAAAACAAATTGAGTGAGATGAACATATGGGTAAATACCTGCCAATTAAGGGTTCATTTCCAAAATTTCCGTAAAATCGAATCCAAATTCTAATCAGAAGTTTACACTTTATATCATATTACAAATTTTAATCGTTGGTAAGAAGAGGCGTATGACGGTTCTGTTCTTTCTATCATTACTACTACTACTACTACTACTACTACTACTACTCATTACTATGTTCAGTCGCACAAGTTTCTTCTTATGCACGCCTGAATAATTCATGCCGTTGCGGGTTAAGCTTGCGCAGCATTTGTCATCTAACCTTATACAAAATTTCATGTTTGTCTCTCTCCAGTGATTTCTTAGCAGTCATCATCAAAACAGAGGCTAAATGTAGGGTAGAGGTCTCAATCTATCAAATTTCGTGATGTGCCTCATTTCATGACACGACATTCTAAATTCGCCACAAAATTAGAAAGACTTATACGTTTCAGTTAGTCTAAACAGTACACCATAGAAAGAGCCATTTATGGAGTACTCATAAACCAATATAAGATTTGGGGTTCTCATGGCGATGACTATGTAGATTACTGTCTTCTAGGGTATGAAGCCGTGCGGTCTGGTAGATGTTTACTGACGAACCTTCAAAACATCTGTATATAGATTATCGTATTAATTCCTGTCAAAGCCAACAATTCACCAAATGACTCACTTACATATTATTACGTACAATTGAGTTTTATTGGTCTAGAATTCAATGTCGAGAAATGCTTCGACTCATACAGCTGTCCTCAGGAGATAAAACCAACAAGTTTTATTACCATTGAATTACGAATTATATATGGATCCATATATTACTCTTGCCCGGTGTGTTGTGTTTGACAGCAATTAATACGATAATTTGCATATGGTATGGCACACAGCAGGATGCATTACTTAAAGACTTCAAAACATGGGTAAACATCTCCCAGACTTCATGACGTCACTTCCCAAAAGACAGGAATTTTCGTGTCAAAGCTAGCTGTGGAATACTTATCTAATTTCGTGGTAAATTTAGGGTGTATTGTCATATAATTGTGTAGCTTCACCCCGAATTTCGGGCCCATCATTTTGTTGTTTTGTTTAAATTAGTAGAAGTTCCTAACGAATGTTGCTTTGTTTTTCACACAGAAAACTTTAGTCCCATACTTTTACTGTTGCTCAGGCCTCAGATGTTCGCGTGGTAGCCATGTTAGTATCACTGATACGAAAAAAACATTAAAGGGGTACAGACACTGGGATGTACATAACGAAACCATAAGAGTAGTCTAAGGATGGGCTCTTGTGATGGCGTAAAGAACACTCGGATTCCTCAGTAGCTGAGGTTCAGTGTGAAGTAATTGATTTGTTCCTTGGTTATTTAACGGTCTTTTCAAATACAGACGCCTGGAATGGTGGGCTAATTAGGAATTGTGAAATCGAAAGGATAGGGAAAGATGCAGTCGTGGCTTACTTTTTCTTTTCCTTGGCACTACAGCCCCAGTGGGCCTAGGTCTACCTCCATGAACATCTCCGTTCACTTCAGTTTTTCTAGATCTTACACGTTCGGTAGGACTCCTTGGGCGGGTGATCAGCTCGTCGCAAGGCCTCTACCTGTACATAAACACAGAAAAACGCACAAAAACATCCATGCCCTGAGTGGGATTCGAACGCACGATCTCGGCTTCCGAGCGAGCGAAGACAAGTCGTGGCTTACTATAACATACTATTCCAAAAGTTTCCCGGAGGGCTGAGGAAAACCACACTAAACTTGGAGATGACAAAGTAGTAGGGTCTTGTGTGTTGAAACGCCATGTAATTCAGAGAGAACCCGATGTTTCAGAGGAATATATCGCGTCCATCTTCAAGATCAAAGGTTAAGTCATGCAAGGAACGAGCAGAAGCATTTGGTAAGGTGAAGGGTCTCCAGTCCGCGCTTTTCGAAACTGCAGAACTTCTAATATGAAGCAGGAACGCGATGTTCAGTCGGTATAAAGTTTAATCGATAGAATAGTTGTTGCAGAGACTGTACGTACTGTCGTTCCATATTACATCCTGTGTGGTTTGAAGCTTTTCGGAAAGACCAAGGCCGGAAAACCACAGCTCGTTATGAAGCAGGATCCTCAACCCACGTCAAGAGGAAAGAAAACGCGCCACCCTTGCAACACCCCTCTTCCGTTTGAACAGAATTACCCATGCAAAACAAGCACAATCTTAGTTTTGTGTGTCCAAGCTGCAGGTTTTCAAATGTCAGACTGGAACTTAAAAAAATCTGAACCGAATTGTAGCAAATATTCCATGACTTTATTTTTCTTTTGTTTTTTTCATGAGCTTAATTATGATCTCTTATTGTCATTCCACTGTTTATGTTATTTTTTAACAATAGGTCAATCGCCCATACTACGAACTATTTGCCAAATTCTTTTCTCAGTTTCTTGACCATTTTACAGACGGTAGGACGCCTTGGACGGGTGATCAGCTCTAGGCCTCTACCTAAACACAGAATAAGCACACACACACACACCAAATATCCATGCCTTGTATGGGATTCGAACTCACGATCCTAGCGTCCGAGTTAGCGAAGACAGTACATGCCTTAGACCGCTTGGCTACCGTGACCGACGTTCATCAAATTTACAAGGAATAATTTTGTACAGGATGCATCAAAACAATCCTAACGAAACCTGTAGACAGAATGTTTATATAACTGTCATGAAAGCGATAACAGGCCTAATATAAGTTGCACTTCGATTATTTTGGTTTATTTTTTTTTGGTGGTGGTGGGGGGGAGGTTCCTCTGTTCTGGGAACCCTACTGCTTACCAGAACAAGAATCTAAAAGAAATATGAGAATGAGGAAGAAAGCGGAGAGCAGAAGGATGAGGGGGAAGAAGAGAGTAAATACTCGTAGAAGGAGAAATTAAAAATGTATACACATTGCACTTATACCGTAATTTTCTCTTCATAAGTGACCCAGTTCTCAACATATTCAAAATGTATTACATTTTATATTCTCAGAGGTGAATATTAAGATAATTTAAAGTCGAACACAATGTTTTAAAAACAGCAAATTCTTTTCATCGCTGTGAAGGACTGGCGATGGGCGGCGACGCTGAAGACGTCGGAGCTGACGTAGAAGTCGACACACAAGAGCCGTAATATTTCAGACTGACATCTGAAAGAAATAAAACAAAACTAATGTGCGTGACGGTAAGAACATTTGCTTTATAGTCTGTTCTACTTATAAATTCGCAATTTTCAACACTCACATAATTACTTTCAAAGTATACTATTATAAATATAAAGTCTATTGATTCTCCCCTTTGGCCGGGCCATAGCTCAGGCCGTTAGTGTCCGGCTTCCCATCGCTGCGGCCCGGCTTCGAGTCCAGGTCAGGTCATGTAGGATTTGTGGTGGACAAAGTGGCACTGGGGCAGATTTTCTCCGAAGATTTCGGTTTCCCCTGCCAATTCTCATTCGACCGATTGCTCCATATTCATCATCTACCATCCGGGGCTGGTGCAACAGGCCAGTTAGTAGCCGACGTACCAAGTGGACTCAGTCTCACCCCGCCCCAAGAAACTAAAAAAAAAAAAATTACCAATATTACCTTTATCTGGTAAGAGCCGGTAATNCAGAGATCATGACCATATAGCTCGATACATTTCGGATCTCGCTACTAAATGGAGGTGAGCAGTCAGCTTCACGCTGGTGTCGCTTAGATACCAGAGGAAGAATCTCTAGTCAATATGCAGGAGGCTGTGTGGGCTCCAGGACCCACATTTCTACCTCTGCCGGAAACAGAAACCTTATTGCCCAGCTCGAAGCTGGTTTCCATACTTTATTTATTTCTGGTTTATTTAACATGCTATCAGAAGCTCAGGCTACATGTCGCCGAACTGCAGGGTGATGTAGGATTTCAGGTTCTCAATGCAATGGTTAGAAAGAGTTCTGTCTTCCGGAACATAACGCCATGTAGACCGATGAAACTTAGCTTCGCTTGCTGCCCGCTCTTGCTGGTTTAGGGCTTGACTTACTCTTCAACTCGAAGATGGAGGCGACAATTTCCTCTGAAACGTCGGTTGACTGCCAACGGTCTACACCTCGTTATATCCAAGAAGATATAACTTTCTGTGGGATGATTATTGATTAATGAATTGGATGGACTACGGAAGGACTCGGTCATTACTGCTCATGACCTAGGACCTACTACCCCGCCTTTTGTTTTGAGGGACTGGGGAAAGCCATGAAAATCCTCGATCAGGATATTCGGTGCCCCGGTTGAGATTCAAACCCTTCAAGCCCTTCTTGATAAGCCGCCTGTTGCGCAGCTATTCAAGAATTTCCCAGCATTTTTTGGAACCCGAAGGTTCATTATCGTGTTCACAAGAGCCCTTCATTGGTCCCTATCCTGAGTCAGATCAATCCAATCCATGCTATCCCATCCTACCTCTCTAAGTTCCATCTTAATACTGTCCACCCGCCTATGTCTTGGTCTTCGTAGTGGTCTCTCTTTTTCTGGCTTTTCCACCACTATCCTATATGCATTCCTCTCCTCCCCTTTCGTGCTATATGCCCTGCCCATCTCATCCTCCTTGACTTGATCATTTTAATCATACTTGGAGAAGAGTACATGTTATGAAGCACCTCATTATGCAGTTTTCTCATGTCTCCTGTCACTTCGTCTCTCTTCGGTCCAAATATTCTCCTCAAAGCCCTGTTCTCAAACACCTTCATTCTATGTTCCTCCCTTAATGTCAGAGACTAAGTTTCACACCCATACAGAACCACAGGCAAAATACTGCCGTCATTGTTGTTAATACGGAATAGACCAATAGAATAAGTGACTAAGAACAAATCCCAATAGGGAACCTAGAAATTTTGATACCATCACCAAGCGCAGAACGTCTTTCGGATCCCTGTACAACGGGCACCTAACGTACCCAAGTTCATTTGGCATAGAGCCCCAATTCAAAATGTAACAAACTCCCGTGAAGTATTTCCGTAAATAAACTTTCGGCGGAGTGACGAGCTTCCCACCACGCCGCCTTCGACAAAATGATAATCTTTATGTGACTCTTTCTGTTATTAGGACAGGGTTATTTCTAGCAACAGCAGGTTACCTGTTCCACAGAAAATGGCGCACTTTATCGTTCCAGGATTCGTGTACGTGATTCCATCTGTACCGCAAACCGGATTGAACTCTTGCGTTGACGGGCAATCACACTCGACCGCTGTCGTTGTGGAAGCTGAAGGTGTCGTCAAGGGCGTTTCATTCCCATCGGGTCTTGGCCTTGGTGAAGCTGGTCTATCAAATATAAAGATGTCATCAGGGTCGTCTGCACCGGGAGGCAGAACCAAGTTTGGTCTGTTGTTGTCATTGTTTCCTAGTTGTGGTCGCCTGGCAAAAGAATTTTGTTGCGATGGATGTGAAAATCTGTCACCAGCCGCACCCAAAATCTGTCTCTGCCCCTGAGGTCGGAAATTGTTTGCATTGATGCCGGTTTGTGGCCCATGATTTGCAGGCCTGCTTTGATAAAATAAATCCGGATTCCAGAAGAGGTTTTCGTTGAATATCAAATTTGAAGCTCTGGACGGTCGCGATTCTGGCCTTGAAGAAACTACATCTGGTGAACTGCCCCAGACTGGATTGCTGTTCTGTGCTCCGGTGTACAAATAATGTTTGTATGCAGCTGTCTCGTCCAACTTTGACGCCAATACTGCTGGAAGACGAAACAGATTAATAATTAAGACGGTTTAAGTTTCGCATGAGCTTAAGCCAATAAAATGCCGGAATTGCGCTTCGAACACACCCAAAGCATAGATATTTATGTAACAATTAATTTCTGCTAGTCATCCTACTCATCGCTAGATGTACCTCCATTTAGAGGGATAATTTTCTTGCAGTTGAAGCATTGTTTCAATATCGTTGAAGGTGATTCCCAGACTGAGCGACCGCAAGGAATTCGAAAAAGAACTAATATGAACAAACTAGGTGGTTTCTTGGTTCTATAATCTGACACGACTTATGGATTCCTGTAGTGAAGGGTTTCTCACATTCCTATTTCTGACAAGCAGCATGTATCTTTGTGTGGGGGATCAGGATATCTTAAGTTTCTGACTTCACAGAACAGCACAGTAAGACGTGGAAAAATTGTTGTGACCCGAGATGGATTCAACAAGCATTTTCAGCGGTTGAATAGTCAAAGACCGAGTGGATGTTCTTATGAGCATATCATAGCACTGAAGCTAAAAATTTAGGATCTGTAATCCCCTGTTTAATTCCCGGTCTTGATAAAAATTTTAAGTATTGTTGCCAGCCAACTTTGGCACAAGTATCATGAGAAGGGGCACCAGTTCTTACTCTATCTCCCCTTCTCCCATTACTTCTCAAAAACATATATATAAAAGAGTGTAACCGAAAGATGCAGGCAAATTTTGGGCACGAGTTCCACATCCTCCACCAAAAGATCAATATCAAGATGTGTCCGCAAATATTTCATTTGTGAGTTATCCCTGAAAGGGCATTTTTTTAATAAGCGCTCAAAATATCCTCGTTGGTGACTGTGTGGTAGGTCCGCATGTTTTGCCATATCGACATACAAGCAATCACTACCGAGATTTCCTCTTACATGATCTGCCAGAGCTACAGGAAGAGGTGCCACTGACGGTCATGTGGTACATGCATGATGGTGCTCCGGCAGATTTTAGCCGTGCAGTGCGAGCTGTTCTCAGTAGAGGAGGACCCACTGCATGGCCTCCACGCTTGCCATATATAAATTATCTGGATTTTACATGTGTGGACATCTAAAAGTCCTTGCGTATGCAGCTGCTGTTGAGAACGAAGAGGCATTTCACCATCGCCTTGTGGATGCTTGCCAGACTATTCAGCACTACCCCGGCATCACGAAGTGACGTGTCGAGGAGTGCAATGAGTCTCATGGAGGACGTTTTGAGCACTTTTTGTAAATGTATGCTTTCAGCTATAATTCAGAAGTTAAAATTTTGCGGACATATGTTAATACTGTGACGCATATACCCTTTGCTAGGCTACGACTTGGTGAATAAGTCCGTTGCTAGGTAAAATTTACAAAAATGTGTGACAACAGTAGACGTCCATTGCTAGGCAATGGACGTGTTTCCTATGGAGTCCGCCCCGAGTGACTCTGCCTCCAGTTAGATCGGAATGGAGAGAGCCAATCAGAACTGAGTGAGTCCTAGGCAGTCATGGAAGAAGGGTTCGGCTGAAGATGTATTTTGAGTTATCTTAATTTATTGTGATTACAAGTACTTGTACAATTAGAAATCAATAAATCCAATTACCAATCCAAAACCCGACTATAGTCACTAATACACGTGACAATATGAACATTTTGAAAAAGAAATGAAAGTAGGTTTATGCGATCTCCATGCTGTCTCTTTGTCTGTATATTCCCCCTATCAACTTCTGAATGGTTGAACCAGCATTTATGAAACTTGATACCTATATCATGGCACCTAAGCCCATCTCAACGGTGCACTTTATAAATCACTCCCATCTGTCTGTGCATCTATAGTGTCCCCTCTCATTGCTGGGCAAGGGCTCACTCAATTTCCCATATCTTTGCTAAGTAACGGTTCGGTTAAAGAATGTTACGGCTGCAACTGATACATACCCAACAATAGTAGAATTCTGGACACTTTTTATGGGGTCCGTGTCGTATCAAGAAAAGTTGGTGATTATTTCTTCCCAGAACTTCTTGTTTCCTATTTTGGTAGCGGTACTCGTGCCCAAAGTTCCCCACGCCTCTCAGTTACAGCTTGTGTATGTATGAGGAAGCGTCAATAAATAGGTCACCGATATAAAATGTCAAACATGTGAAAAAAGAAATTAATTTCTCGACATATCCTCCACCAACATTGATAAGCTTGCCCCATCGCTTTACCAGTGAGTCGAAACCCGCAGCAATGAAGTTTTTTACTGTTGTCTCAGGCACTTTCTCACCTTATTGGGCATTTTCTGCTACTTTCGAACGTCCTTGAGAGAATTTCTCGACAAACTTGTGAGCCACTTTAAGTAAACAGGAAACATTTCTTTATGAATATCCTTTGCAGTGTGTCCTTTTGCTCACACACACAAAAAAAAAAGCAAAACAGAACGCTGCTTTTTGGTAGTATACGTCTCAAGCATGATCGCCATTTTGACTACTGAAACCAGCCTCTGAACATGTGCATGCTCGTCTGCTACCTAGACTAGCTGGAAGCTGGACTATGGTACACCCTAGTGACACATATAGAAAAACTATTACTTCCATTACAGCAGTTTTATTTCCATTTGTGACCTATTTACTGACTCTTCTTCGTATATGCGCAGGAACTCACCAACTACATATTTCGACCCTGAAGAAGGAAGCAGCATATACCTCTGAAACGTCGGTAAGATCGCCCACATCCACATAGTGCAACAACCCAAGAACAAAATTAACAACAAGCTACCAACTTGGAAGCCTAAAATCTGTAGTTATACAAGAAGTTTATGAGAATGGCGCTAGACGCCATCGGCATCCTTCAAGTCGGCACTCGGAGACGACCCCCTTGCAAGAAAAGAGCACGTATATCAACGGTGCTTCTATAATACCTGATGATGGCCGAAACACTGAAACAGGTTGTAAACCTTTAACGTATGATGTACATAGATTGTACTAACGGAACCAAATAATAAATTTGACACACACATAATATGGCGTGCACGCGATAGCGCGGTTGGTTGAGGCACTATGCTAAAAGTGGAAAGGTCGCGGGTTCGATTCCGGATAATATAATTGTTTTTCTTTGAATTGACCTAATCCTTCCAGCCGCACTCTGGCCCTAGGTTCACTCAGCCTCTAACAAAAATGAGTACCAGGAATTTTCCTGGGGTATAAATGGGTCCGGAGCGTAAATGTGCAATCTTACCGCCATCTATGAGCCGATCGTCTAGATGTGGGAACCTCGAAGTCCAACACCTGAAGGGCTTTCACGGCTTGTTACAGTGCGAGCTTTACATTTTTTTAACACGCACATGACGCGTGCGATAAAATATTGCCGTCTTGCTAGAAATTGACAACATCGTCACCAGATGGCATAGGCACCTTCATTACGAGTGCGCCTGAGGGCGCTGCGAACACGGCGGACACTTGTACTTACCGTCAAACTGTGATAGAAGACACATGTAGTATGGATGTTAGGAATGAGAAATTAATACATTTTAGTATGAAAGTCTGGTACAAAGAGACCAATTTGGAAAATGATATTACAATGGATTAAAAAAAAAACACATGATTTGGCGGTGTGGTCTAGGTTCATGTGACTGAGGATAGGTGGACTCCTATGAATACGTAATTAACCTCCGAATTTCATGGAAGACCGGAAATTTCTTTACTGGCTGAGTGACTGTTGGCTTCCTAAGAGAGCCCACTGCCCAATGCTCATGACCACTCATGTATCGGTGTATGTATGAAGCAACACAGCTAACCTTTGCACTGTCATTATCGATAAGGATGGTACTCGATACAGTGACTGGAAAATCATCCGCCCACACAGGGCTTTGAACTCCAGCAGTACTGCCAGAGGTTACGTTTCGGTGACCACAAAATTCAATCTTGTCTACAGGAGTGTGCTGTTTGAATCTGAGCCAGAAAGCCTGTTATCCTGACAGGACTAGTTTCGTGCTTTACCTCACTCCTTTTATTCAAGCACTGCATTGATGCTTTAAAATAGACAGCGCCCGCTTCCTAATATTTCCACTTAATCATTCTCAATTATATGACAATTATACATAATGTAACTACACAGTTAGGCAAGCTTCATTAAGTATGTTGGAAACAAGTGGCGTAAGAAATCTGCCAAGTGTTTCTGCAGTACATTAAGTACTGTTCAGCTAGCTATTGTGTATATGTTTATATTATTCTTAGTGGGGTGAGACTGATGTAAGTCCGCTTTGCATTGCGGCCACTATTAGCCTACTGTCCCAGATGATAGATGGTGGTGATTGTGGAGCAACTGGTGAAATGAAGTTTTGCAGGTGAAGCTGAAGTATTCGGAGAAAACCTGCCCCAGTGCCACTTTCTTCAACACAAATCCCACATTACCTGACCCGGGCTCGAACACGCACAGCCATGGTGAGAAAACGGAGACTAAACTCCTGAGCTATGGCGCGGTCCTAACTCTCATTCATAAATTATTTAATAAAACTGGAAGCGCAGTGAAATATTGATGCATGACGGGAGAACTATTGTACAGTATTGTCTTTGAATTTGGTATTTTCCGTGCACCCGTGAAATTAAATGATTAATTAAAGTGTTTGAACGAAGCTCATAATAAAGACCATAGAAATAAAGTTAAGCTGTGTATTTCCATTTCAGAATATTCCGAAACAAGGAGATGCTTTATCACTATTGCTTTTAAGTTTGTTTAGAATTCGTCATTGGAAGGCCCAAGCAAACTAGGAGCAGGAGGGATACGAATCGATCGGGACATGCTGATTCTTTGTATATGCCGATTATAATAATTTATTGGGTGAAATATAAAGAATGACTTCAGGTAGCACTCATAAAAGAAACCTACTTCCCTACTGCGCGGGCTTCGTTCTAAATTCTTGATTTAAAGGGAATGGGCCGTGACCTAATAGAGACACTCTCCGGGCATTTGTCTCGAGGGACTGAGGAATACCAGTTAGGACATCCGCATTCCAGGTGACACACGAATCGTGCACCTCCCGGATGCAAGTCCAGTGCTGCCCTATGTGCTTGGGAGTCTCTTAATATGACCGTTGTCTATCGCGGTATTTCTCGGTTTTCCCGAATGATTCAAGGTGCTTTTATTTTGAACAGTCTCTAATTAACTTACGTTTGAACACATATCGTCCCCTTTCTTGCTTACAAGCAAGAACCTGACTCTGCTCTCGCGTCTTGAGCAAGAGGCTGTCACCATATCCAGCATCCCACGTTCGCTGGGAATTACCATTTTCTTGAGCCAACAGGTCGCAGCAACGGGGATTCCTTCGGCGTTGCCACGAAAGCAGCAGACGTTCCGGGGGAGCTGTGCTTAAGTCGTGAAGACGTATGAGAAAAGAAGGTACAGCCAAAAGAATTCTTAATTTCAACATTGTATGCAGGTGAATGCCAAGCTTCTCCCTGGGACCCCCCCCGGTACCCATTTTATTGGAGAGTAAGTGGAGCTCAGAGTTACTCTCACCGCTACTCAAACCCTTGTCGATCAGTCCGCAGCCCACAAAATAGTCACTGGAAAAAGGTAATAGTAGGAATTTTGTTCTGAGAGGTTTCACACTTTCTGTGTTTTATGCTTAACTCCTTATTGTGCACGCTGTAGCATAGTTAGTTGAGGCACTATGCTACAAGCCGCATGGTCATGGGTTCGATTCCTGATGAGGTTAATGAATTTTTCAATTGACGTAATCCTTCCAGTCGCACTATGGCCCTGGGTTCGAATCTGTCTCAGAATTTTCCTGGGGGTAAAGGGCGGTCGGCGCGTAAGGCTGACAACCTCACCGCCATCTCTCAGCCGATTGTGTAGAAAATGTGGGATCCTCGACATCTCACAACCCTATGGGACTCCACGGTCTGTTACAGGGATACCTACATTTTTTTACTCTAATCCGTTGAGGCTNTGCCATCTCTCAGCCGACTGTGTACAAAATGTGGGAACCTCAATCTCACAACCCTATGGGACTCCACGGCCTGTTACAGGGATACCTACATTTTTTTACTCTAATCCGTTGAGGCTCCTAGTGAACGCGTTATGATCTTCATGATAGCTGCCGTGTTCAGAACGAATCTAGGCCAGAAATAGCCTTCAGTGAAGACCGTGAAGGTGATCCCCTATCTGACCTGATGTTAATAAACTTCACTCTGCGTTCCCCATATGCTTTCATTGCTTTGCCTCAACTATTTCAAAGTTCCTTGTAATTTTTACGACAATCTTATGATGACGTTGACGGAAACGATTGCTGATAGTGGCCAGGATCATCGGCTTGAAAATTCATAAAGAAATATTTCTTGTTTACAATGGAATTATTCCCGTGAAAAGCCGTTCACAAATTTTCTCAAGAAGACTCGAAAGTCCCAGATGATGCACTACTAGAGGCGGAAGTGGCTGAGGAAACAGAAGATTTCTATGCTGCGGGTTTCGATGCAGTGGTAAAACGATGGGAAACGTGTATCGATGTTGGTGGAGTATACGTCGTGAAATAACTTTTTTTTTCTTAGGTTCGAGTATCATATATTTTACGTTCTATATCCATTTTTTATCTACTTGTTGAATCTCCCTCGTACTTACGGGTTGTCGTAAATGTATTTTTTTTCCTTCGCACTACAGCCCCAGTGGGCCTAGGCCTACCTCAACGAACTTCTCCGTTCACTTCGGTTTTTCTAAATCTTACACATACGATAGGACTCCTTGGGCAGGTGATCAGCTCGTCGCAAGGCCTCTACCTGTACACAAACACAGAAAAACGCACACAAACATCCATGCCCTGAGTGGGATTCGAACCCACGATCCCGGCTTCCGAGCTAGCGAAGACAGTGCATGCCCGTAAATGTATTTACAGTATTTAAATACAAGCGACACATTCTGAAAGGTGTTAAATGAAATTAATTTTGGTCCGCATCGGTTCAGCATAACGTGATGCCCAAAAGGGAATGTATTCAGCTTACATAAATAGCTAGATACCAGCCGGTGTAGTGACTGAGCTACGAGCTAGAAGACCGAGGAATCTGCAATCGATTCTGGCAAGGAAAAGAGATTTTATCTTCTTCACTGCATCCATACCAGCTTTGGGGCCACCCAGCCTCCTATCCAATGTGTACCTGGGACTAGTTCCCCGAGGGTAAAGCGGGTCAACAGTGAAGCTGGCCACTCACCTCCAACCAGTGCCGAAGTCAAGAAAACATGTATCTATACATCTACTCCCCCATACACCTTCATAGCGTAGTGCTTAATTAGTTAAGCACAGCGACAACTTTACCTTTTACCTTATCACTTAGAGATGAAAGATGTAACAGGAACAATTGCGTGTCTCTTCACTCCAGTAAACTGTTTGGTTTATTCACGACAAATAGAAATATTAAACAGATTCAAACAGAAAGAAGTGACGCTTACCTGTCGAGATAATAACAGCCCAAAGCATAACGAAGTGACACATTTTTCCCCAGTAAACAAACAATGCCTGCAGGAGTCTCAGTACACTGAAAACTAGGCCTCCTTGTTAAGAAACTCGCAGACTACGTTGCTGTGAGGAGCTTGATGTGCTGCAGGGCAGTTTCTAATGTCTTCATATGTGAACTGAAGTGAGGTGAGTCAAGACTGGAGGACACCAGCGAAGGTCGCAAGTAGGCTGTACAGCTGCTTCTGTGTGTTGCCATCACTACTGCCAATACTTAGAACCAGGCTGGCAGAATTCCGGCTCTGTGGTTGATTTGTTTATGCTCTTTCGAGTTGTATAGCAACAAATGAAAGGCAAGCTAAAGTTGACCGGTGCTTAACTAATAAGGCGCTACATCATGATGGCGTATGGGGGAGTGGATATGTAGATCCACATTTTCTTGGCCTTGGCAATAGTGGGAAGTGAGCGGTCAGCTTCACACCCAAGCCGCTTTACCCCTGAGGAAAGAGCCCCGGGTACACATTGGGTAGGAGGCTGGATGGGGCCCAGAACAGGTCTGGACGACGTGCAGAGGAGAGAAATCTTGCCCTTACTGGGACTCGAACTCCTACCCCTCGGCCGTCCTGCCCGTAGCCAGTCTCTATACCGACTGCGCTATCCTGGCTCCCACAAACAACAGGTAAAATGATATGAAGAAAGAACCAAGTATTAGTAAGGACACAGCAGTAGCCTAGTGTGGTATTGTGTGTAAAATCATGCGTCGCAATTTGTATGAATTAGAGACGACTGAAAAAGACGTTACCACGGCTTATTTTTTACTGACATTCTGGTGGGACTGGGAGCAACCATGAACACTTCAGGTTAATCGATGTGTCCATCGAGATGTGAACATGTAACTCTGATACATTTCTTCTGTGTCAGGCAAATCTGGCCCATTAATAGGGAACACAGGAACAGCAGCTCAGTAGTGAAGGGCACATAAATGGCAGAATCATCTAGAATCCGGTTTTTCATAACGATGTTACGTAATCTGATTTGTGGTGACGCACTCACAAACGAACTCAGTAATGAGGCGATCTGCCAGGCTCTCAAAAGATACGTGCAAGTGTCCTACACTTAATTATTTTACGAAAAGTTCCACATAATCAGTATTATATATATCCACATCCACCGGGGACCGCTGTTCGAGCCCTGCTAATGGCTAACCATAGCAAACAAGAAGTTCTGTGAAGAACTAATCGTCTACTTTCTTTTGAAACAACTTTATCCGCATAGAAAACGACGCATCCAACAATTATTCTACTTTTTCGTCTGTATCCGCTTCCGCCGTAAGCTTTTATCAGGGTCGTTGCTTAGCAATGATTGATAAACATACACACAGGGTGATGAAAGGGATTTAGGAGGTGTGCCGTTGATATAGGCTCAGGTGCCATGATGTACTCGTACATATTAAGTTTCATATAGTTCAGATATTTAAAAGTTAATTGGGGGGGGTTACACAGATATGTTGATCTCATAAACCCATATTTATTTTTTAAAAACAAGGAAAGAACGAGTAGGCTAAAAACAACACACGTCGAGGATACAGTTGGTAGGTTGCACCCCTTACCGTCATAACAGCGTAGATGTCCGCCGTTCTAATGAACTTTTTCCACATCAGAAAGACTAACAATCTGAAAGTATCAGTTTTGATAATCACAGTACACTCAGATAACATTAACAGAATGTACATCACTTGTTTCAGCAGGGTTAAATTGCGCTTTTACTTAAGGAAAACCGGTGCTCGTGACGGAAGGTGGAGGCAGTACCTACCTCCGAACTGCTTATATAGATCGACCAGGCTGCACCGCGTCACATCCCAGAAGATACAATCTTCATTATCACCATCGTGAGAACCATACATCTTGCAGTTATGTTGTCATATCTTAATTGGATTAAGGCGGAGGAGAATTAGCATTTCGGTTGCTAGATCAACACCCTGGCCAAACTGAAATTCGAGAATACAAGACAGACCGTCATCTGAAGCAGCCGGAATTTCAGTCTTCATTGAGAGTAATCCGTTATCTGCAAGTACCATAGCACTTACCACGAAGTCTTCAACATGGTCCAACACATCCCTGTTCACTCATGTCCATCACCTAACCAACACCACGAAGACAAGTAATCATCATCAATAAGTGTAATCCTACGTGTAAAAGGTAAAGGTAAAGCTATCCCTGTAACAGGCCGTGGAGTTCCATAGGGTTGTGAGACGTCGAGGCTCTCACATATTCTTTAGAAAATCGGCTCACAGATGGCGGTAAGGTTGTCAGCCTTACTTGCCGGTCGCTCTTTACCACCAGGATGATTCCCGGTTTCTGTTAGAAGCTGAGTCGATCCCAGGGTCATAGTGCGCCGGGAAGGATTAGGTCAATTGCAAAAATCCACCTCATCTGTAGTCGAACCTGCGACATTCCGGCTTGCAGCATAGTGCCTCAACCAACTACGTTACCGCGTGCTCCCAATCCTAAGTGTGGGAAAGCTAAAGCGACATGACCGTGTCAAGTAGGCTTATTCTCATATACACATGTGTGTGTGAACGTATAACGTGTTGCAAGGTCTAACAGTGTCATCAAACCCAACATCTGTGGGCAAGTGAAATCCACTAAAGCCGACTGAAGTCTGCTTCACGAGCTGAGTGTCCTTTGTGCGCCGGCCCATCCTTCTCATCACCGCTCCTGTATCATAATCACAGGCGATCCGTAACTCCAGCAGCAGCCTTGCTTTGTGTCCAAACGCCAAAGCGTCCACGACACAAAACCCCATAGTAACTGAGCTGCCCTGAACCTTCTTTCCTAACTGTTTCTTTACCCATTTCAGTAACGTAAACCAAGAAACTAACTACTGGAGCTCAGTCAGTAACATCTCAAAGGATTACCCCGCGCATCGTCGCCCCCCGCCTGCTGGGCCATTCCATGAACCAGATCCCGTGACGACCGGAGCTGTAAGCCAGGACGCCGGAAAAGAAGAAACAAGTAGGGTAGGCAACCTGAGACGGAGTATCAACGAGGGTGGGCCGTTATAAAGAATTGTTTTCATTAACGCTTTTGTGCGGTGTAGATGAATCGAGGTAGCTCAGCGAAGCAACTGGTCATCGTCTAAAATTCTGAGTTTGCGGCCACAGTAGGAACAGGGTGAGTCTCCTCGTTGTGATGCTTACACTGGTTCTGGGGCGCACCCAGCCCTTAAACTAATGTAGCACGGACTCAAAATTATGAGAAATATTTACTCGGGAGTAAGTAATTATAAAAAAGCACTTTTAAATATAGGGTCTACGCCTTCCTTGCACAAAAATAAATCCAGTTTTACAATCTGCTCTGTATATTAAACGTCATATTGCTGAATTCATAGTATAATTGACGTTTCTGTATATTTCCTTCATTATTTGTAAATGTCACTTCGCGGAAAAATAAAAAATGTTCAGTGAAAATGTGAGGGTGTGGCAACATACTCTGGCATCTACTGATGTCAAGGACACAACAGAAGATTTTCAAGGACATGTTTGCAGCACTGGAAGTACTAAAGTTTAATGATTTGAAAGAAAGGAAGTTGCATAAAATGATGCTGTCTACACTTTCCTCAAGTACGGTTATGAAAACAGAAGAACTGCTCCGAGTGAGTATACATCCACTCATGCGTCCACCCCATTTATGCTAAAATATTCTATTTTGTAGGTTCAAGATCATGAAACAATTCAACACAAACTGCGTTTTTCTTTTAAACAGCTTTAGTGAATAAATACAGTTAAGTACATTCAAAGAAACTCGTAAGAATTCGTTTGGAATTGCAGTTGACATGTGGCAGTGATTACTCATTATACGATGCATAGCGAAACCACGGAATTCTGGATTCAGGCCCGAAAAAAATGCTCATGTGAGGTTAACCATTGCTGCAGGCTCCGATGAATGAGAGTCGAACATCTGAAAACGTAATAAAGACAATATTAAGGGAAATGTACAGCGTGGCATAGAACCCTTCAATTCACAATAAACCTCTCATAGTCCTCTAAAAATAAGATCGGAAAGGTGATAATACATTTGTAAAGTGATGAAATGAATCAATTTTAGAGATAAAAATGCAGTAGTCTGCAGTTATAGAATACAAAGTGGGAAAATTTTCAAAATAAGGAAATTAAAGAGAAAATGTGATAATGAAGAAAGCAGTCTTGTGGGATTTGGCACCGTGTATATGTGGTATTAACCGACGTTTCGGAGGAACGTATCGCCCCCATCTTCAGGGTAGAAGAAAAAGTATAAGAATTCTGCAAGCGACAACACCGTGAGAAACGGTAAAGCAGACTGCGGGGCGATACGTTCCTCCGAAACGTCGGTTAATACCACATATACACGGTGCCAAATCCCAGAAGACTGCTTTCTTCATAGTCACCGCCGTGAAAGCCTCAAATCTTACAAAATGTGATAATGTTCTCGTGCACGGAGGAGTAGAAAGAAGAAGAAATTTTTACGTTGTAACGAGACAAAAAGAAGAATAGGAGGAGGAGAAGGAAAAGGAACATAAATGAAGAGGAAATGGAAGAGAAACAACCCGTCCTGAGTTGCAGGTTGTTAGTAAAATGAAAACCTACTTCGCCCACATGACCGTGCACAGTTCAGTTTCTGCAGATTTCCGTACGTGACCCCGTCACTGCCACACACGGGATTGAATTGCGGGGGTGCGGGACAGTCGCACCCCAGCAGGGAGCCGTTACCGTCCACAACGGATGGGGTGGCGCTGTCGTCCGCAGACGCTCCCGTAACTGGTTTAGGTGCTCTTGTCGTTGAGAGTGACCTCCAAGACGGACGTTCAAACGTGCCCCAGAATTGTGCTCTTCCACTGACTACAACACTTAGCACCAGAACTGCATGGGGAAATTCGATTGTTATCGCCGTGAAACTTTATATCTTGGCCTGGGGAAGAAAGTCTGCGAAACCCAAAAGCTCAGGAACGAAATAAATATTAAGTGTCGAATAAAACTTTCGTATTTAATTTAATTTCTTATATGATGACCGTCGACACAACAAGTAATATGGGAATACCTTCAATAAAGACAATAGGCGTTGGTATATATCTTACGTGCTTAATATCGTAACTGTGCTACATGTTTCGACCGTATAATTAGGTCATCATCAGACACTAACTCAAGTGATTAAAAATGGTTATAAACTTTCGTATTTTGAGTAACATCGCAGTCCATAGATTTAACTCAGAAATTTTACGACTCGGTAGTGAGACCAAGGAGGGGAAGATGAACTTGATTGAAGTGACTCAGAGCTGTGCCAAATGGCAAGGTTCGTTGTTAACAGTAGCTCTTAAAATTCTTTCACAACGTCTTGTCTTTATAGGACTGTCCTGCCATTGTCACACTTTGTTGAAAGTAGTTATCCGTGAGTAAGTCTCATTTCGCGCAGGCTCATTTGTTACTCTGACTCATGAACTTACGTTGATGAATTATAGGCTACTTATGTTTGATGTGAAGGTAATTATGTTCGAGCTTTACAATATCAATTAGCAGCTATTTGTGGTGAGTGAAGAATTCCTAGTTACGGACCCCGACGTTTCAAAGACGTCGCAATAAAAGTCGGCAACTGAATCCTGCTCTAAGCCAATTCGATACATTTCGTGCCTTTAAGATTAATTTTAATATTATCTTCTAAAACAGTTAATTGATAACAGAACTATTAAAACAGTCACACTTACCGCAGGAAAGAAATGCGAGCGTCTTCATTGTGTTCTCCGCTACATATGCACCTACTATGTTAACATGACACGTTGGGTTGGGCTATTTAACGGTGTTCCTATCGCTATATCTAATGACGCGTTAGGTTACGAAAACAGGAAATATCTCTTAAACGAGAAGTGTGACTTATCTCACATTATGGATTTCCCTAACAATAAAATTATGTAGTAAATGCAACCAAAGGGGGAAGAACAACTCGCTACTGCATATTTTATCCCGAAATAGGAAATTCCAGGCTGTTCTTCTTATGCCAGGGAAATAACGAAATATTTCAAGGAATTAAAGCAAAGAAGATAGATGATATTTTTTATTCTGCCTTTCATATTTTGTTTTCCACAAGGGAAAATATTAGAATTAATTGTATGAAATAAGTGATGAATATGTGAACTTATTTATCCTGACTCAGGTCATAATAAAATTGCAAGTTCTATTATTAACGGAAACGAACTTGGTTTCCATAGCAACGGTATTTTTTTTATTGGTTTGATAATTAGAAAGGGTTTATGGGGTTAGACCATATGTTCTACCGTTTTAAAGAATTAAAGTTTCTAGCAACCATTACACCAATTTGTCAACCATGTTCTTATTTTTTAATTGTCGGTCCCCTTAATGCAGTAGCATTAGTAGTAGCAGTAGACGTTTTCTTATTTATAAGCAGTTCATTAACAGAGGGCGTCTCACTGTAGGCAACGAAACGATTAACACTGTTCATACCAAATTCAGCATCGGACAAGATCATGGATAATTAAAAAGTTGCGAAGTTATAAGTTATTCTTTTAGTGAAATGGACATGTTTCTTGTCCGAAGTTATTATTTTAAACTTTGTCTATCGTCCGAGTTTAATAAAACCATTGCGATTCTGAAATGGGTTTCATTCCGTCTTCAGGTGAAGAGAATAGGAAAGGAAAGCTAGTCTGTGCTGTCCGTCAGCATTCTCTCAAACCATGATTTGATAATAGCTCTGATGTGATTGCTGGGTGATCCTTGGCTGATAAGAGGCTCAACTTGAAGCACTAGGGCTCTTCAGTCAAGAACTTCCGTCTCTTTCGATATAACTAAAAATTCACGTCACAAAGTTAGAAATAGCTAGACTTTCGTTGTTCTTGTCCAGCCTACTTTCCTCAAATAAGGAAAGTTAATGGGAATTATGGGCTTATGGCGGTTTTTATATGACAGTTTTTCTGCCACGCAATTTTGAACCAGTTGATAGATGCTTAAGAAATTTCGCATTAGCACATGCCACTGGAGGTCATACGAACCCCCTATTACACAATCAGTTGCAGCAAGCGTGAAAGTAGTAAGAAGACAGGACGGGCTTCAGTTGTTTACTCGTATATAACGGTAACAGGCCGTGTAGGCCCATAGGGTTGTGAGACGTCGAGGCTCGCACATTTTCTTTAGGAAGTCGGCTCACAGATGGCGGTAAGGTTGACAGCTTTACGCGTCGGCCGCTCTTTAACCACAGGAAGATTCCTAGTACTCATTTCTGTTAAAGGCTGGTTTACACGTATACGGGGGACTTAATTAAAAATCGCTGTGAATAGTACGTAGTTTGCTTCAGATCTGGGACTATTTCGTATCCAAATCACTAAGTATACATTAATTTTTGAGGAAAATTAGGATTCAGAAGAAAAGGAACTGATAATATTATTTTCAGCCATGTTAACCATTTGAAAAATTTCAGAAGAAAAATAGTAAAACATCTGAAAAAAGAAGGTAGGAAATATACGCATAGAAAAGCACCTGAATGTCCCGAATTTGATATTAGATATTCCTACAGAAACACATTCTATTGTAGGGAATATACATTTGGAAGAGAAACGGTCGAAATTATTTTTTTTTGAGGCTTAAGTAAAACCGAAAGTGAAGGAATGTCCTGAGAATGAAGGAGACGAAGAAGAAAAAAGGAGGATACATGAACACGGAAGAAGATAAGAAAAAAGGCATACCAGAATGAACAAAACGGAAAAAGGAAGAAGCAAAAGAAAAAAAAGAAAAAAAAAAAAGAGCGTAAAAATGAAAACTGACTTTTCCCACATGACCGTGCACATTTCAGTTTCTGCAGATTTCCGTACGTGACCCCGTCACTGCCACACACAGGATCGAACTGGAGAGGGGCGGGGCAGATGCATCCCAGCAGGGAACCGTTACCATCTACCACAGGGCGGCTGGCGCCGTCGTCTTTGGGCTGTGGTGTTTCAGGCATCGATGCATCCTCAAGATCTGGCCTCCAAAATGTGGGTACAAAATTTTCCCATTCAGTCTGCCGAAGCACACGCGTCCTTCCATTGGTTCCTTGATTCAGCAACAGACCTGCAACCAACGATCCAGTTGCAGAAAACGCTGTAGACTTGTAGAGTATAAAGCTTGGGTTTCGTCGGGTAGCGGTACCGTAATCAAGCGGCCGTAATATGACGGTGAATGACGTCACTAAAACGTTGCCATGGAAACAAAGGAACATGGTTTCCACGGCAATCGAAAACTGTAATAATGTCTCAAGTAGAATTAATCTGTTGTTCAAGGAAATAAATCAATGAAAAGAATCAGTGAAATCTGTATACGGTAAATACTGTGAAGGGTTTTGATTCGGCTATAGTTCAAAATTGTCCAAGTAAATTTATAGGGTAGAGGGTAAAGAGTAGTATTGTGTTGAAATCTCAAATAGGTTCACAGCTCTGGAAAACTTGGAAACTTATATGGATGTTAATAAAGCTTGGGAAACTATTAGAGAGTTAAAATTTTTAGGTTTCATATTTACCCGTTTCTGAAAATGAACTTCAACGCATAAATGTTAATATTTGACGGACGTGCAAGAAATTGATCCGCATTAACAGGGACCATATCAGGTATCTGCTGCGACTTGGGTGGCTTTTTAAGTTGTTGGTCTATGGGCTTGTCGATTGTCGACTGCGAGTCCGAACACGCGCGGAAATTTTGATGGGAGGAGGTCGCATTTCTTCCGACGGACCAACCGAACGATTTGCGACAGGCTCATAACATAACCTTACTGTATATTGAATAAGACGCGGTATGTTCTTGAATACAGCCAAGCAAATCACATTAAAATATTTTTAGAAATTAATAAAATTACAATAACTTACAACATGAAATAGCAATTATCGTTGAGGTCTTCATTGTTCTCTCTTCAGCTACTGCTCCTTACTACTAAACAACACATTTGTACTCAAGATATTTTTGTCGTTAAATCTGGCGGAAACTGTTTACCCTTAAGACAGTTCTAAAGAAAACAGGAAGTTTTTTGTGGGACAGGATATCCTTTGAGGTTTCTTCCGCTCGTTGATTTCCCATCGCAGCGAAAATGAATCCTTGATTCGTCCAAGATTCTTAACACAGTGTTTCCAGACGCTTTCTTTGCCATTCATATCAACTACTTGAACTGATAACAATTTATCCCTGTTAAAATAATCTGTCAGAAGTGACCAACAGTATTGAGAGGTATAGTACACGCCATAAATCATGAAAAAGATCTATTAGTAAACAGAACTGTTTCACTGTCCAAATCTATGATCAGTTTTTCATGTAAGATTTTGTTTACATTTGCACCAGATCGAAATGTGTGACATCCATTACATGGTTTTATAGACGAAATAGCGGATTCAGAGGGAGTCGGATATTGCTTTTCTACATTATCCATTTACCAGTGAAATGCCGTTGAAAATTAAACGGGAAACCTCTACGTATGTAATGTAAACTTCATGTTAATGGCTAGAGATTAAATACAAATTTAATGTTAACACAGCTGCAATAATACTTTTATACATACACAGTTTGTCTGTGACTTCTAGTACTTGCGCCGGTGGGCCTCTCAGGCTTACATATACATATAATCCAATTTCGATTTCCTCGAATTAAATATAGTGACTAGTCCCACCACATAAAAAAGCTACGAGCCGCCACTGGTAAATCAACCTGAGAGGTTATTCGCCACAGTTTACCTGAAAAGCACATAAAATTACTCCGGTTCAGTGAAGTAATACTGGGAGTTCGTGACGTTTTAGTCCAGTCCTGCCTTTAACTCACTGCGCTTTTGTTATGAAGCGAGATGGCGTATTTCTGTGGTGGTAGCAGATTTACGGAAGAAGTATGTTTTGTCACTAATGATTTATGGATCATGTTGTAATTTTGTAAAGTCCGATAAGCAGTAATCTATTTATCTTGCCCAGTGTGGTTAGAATACCACGTGACATAAGAGACTACGAAGTGAAATTTTAATATCTTCAAGGTTACGTGTACAGTACATTGATTTTGTGCTGGGATCTCTTGACAGATTTCATCACGATTCGCTTCTGCATGCCTGGGCAAAAAGACATGCAAATGGTGGTTTTTTGGAATCCTCCAACATTTTTTGTGGTTAATTTTACGGTGCTGTCAGCATCTGGATTGCATAGCGTAGATCGGTAGGATGATTGCTGAATTGGAAAGGATCTGGAAGGACGCAATTGTGGCCTGAGAGACGTACTATCTAGGCATTAGCTTTGAGGGGTTGAGGAAAACCACGAATAACCTTTGTCGGGATAGTCGATGGACGACGCAGGGTGCCCATACTGGCAGCACTACAGATATCTAGAATTGCTTGTTATGGACTGCAAGGCTGAAGTAGAGAATAAGCAGTACGACATAAAGTACAACATTATATTTATAAAGAATGAATACCTATAATCTAGTTTCATCATCATCATCGGTAATCTGTCAGACAACAGGTCCACAGTCTCTTCCAAAACAATTCCTCCACTTAATGCGATCTAGAGCTTTCTCCTTCAAATGACAGTATCCTCTTCTGTCCCCAAGGTCATCCAGTATCTTCTTACGTCTTCTTCCTCGTCTTCTTGTCACTTCTATCCGCCCCTCTATCTTTCCTTCAATAACTTCTTTTAGAAGGCAGTTTCTGCGTAAAACATGACCAATCCAATTAGCCTTCCGTTTTCTTATTTCGTGTAGGATATTCCTCTGCTCACTGACTCTAATTAACACTTCTTCATTTCTCACATAATCGGTCCAACTGATCTTCTCCATCCTTCTCCAACACCACATTTCGAAACTTTCCAGATGTTTCTGATCTACTGCCCTAAGTGTCCATGTTTCAGCCCCATACAGAGCTATGCTCCAAATGTAGCATTTCACTAGTTTCTTCCTCAAATTTAAGTCCAATTTGCTGGTAAAAAGATTCTTCTTCTTGCTAAATGCAGCTTTTGCCATGGCAATCCTGGATTTAATTTCACTAGTACACCTTCCATCATCTGTTAACAAGCTACCCAAATATTTAAAACATTTCACATTCTCCAGTTGTTTTTGGTCTATCTTTATTGTGACTGGGGTTGGTTGTCTCGAAATTTAATTACTTTTGTTTTCTCCACATTCATTTCCATGCCATAGCACCTTCCAATTTCAATTAGTCTATCAATCATGCCCTGTAGCACAGTTTCTTCCTTAGCCATTAACACAAGGTCATCTGCATATTTCACAGTTTGAATAATTTGCCCTCCTACTTTGAAGTCACCGAGCCCATCCAGAGCTTCCTTGGTAAGGCATTCGCTGTACAAGTTGAACAGAATTGGTGATAAACAGCATCCTTGTCGAACTCCTCTTCCAATCTGCACACTTCTTGTCTTCCCTCTGTCCAGTCGTATTCTAACTTTCTGATCCATGTACAATTTGCTGATCGATCTTCTTTCACGCCAATCGATACCTGTTTCCTTTAGGATCTGCATTAATTTGGTCCAGTTTACACGGTCAAATGCCTTCTGCCAGTCTATGAAGCAAACACACAGTTCTTCATCTATCTCCAAAGTTCGTTCTGCTATAATTCTCATCATCCCAATTGCATCCCTGGTTCTTTTTCCTCTTCTAAATTCAAACTGATCTTCTCCAAATATATCCTCTATTTTCCTTTCAGTTCTTCTTTTAAGTATCTTTGCTGTTATCTTTGCTGTATGTGCAATAAGGCTTATTGTGCGATGGTCGCTGCATTTTGTAGCTTTTGTCTTTTTCTTTAAGGCAATCAATTTAACTTCTGTAAAGTCCTTGGGCCACTCTCCAATTTCATATAAATCTAGTTTCATCAACCATAAATTATTATAAGTCAGTTGTTGCTACATTTTTTAGGTTTTCGTGGTAATGAAGAACCAGGTTGTGGCCTAAGCAATGGCACAGTAGAGCCTGGTAGATGTGTATTGTTTTGGTTAAACACATGCATCCGTTTTTATCCTGTATAAGGTGGGAATATGCACCTCCGAAATATACATGCACAGCTACGAGGCCACACGATGCCCATAATATTAACACTTTCAAGATTGATGTTGTGGCCGTAATAGGAGGTTACAAAGTTACCAACTGCGCTTTCGACATCTGCCGTACATAGTTCGGTACTATTTGGCGAACCTAACGTAATTGTCCTTCATAGATGACAGGAAGGAAGGTTGAATATGACGTCAAATTTTTCTGCTCATTTCTTGTTCCTGCGGTTTCGAACCCCGCCCCTCTCTGGCCAACTCTGCTCTGTAGATCACGTGTTCCAACATGTTCGGTTCTTAGGGTTGGACGTCACTCTGTCTGCGGCAACGGGTTGGTCAAGGTAAGTTATTCCGTTTGTGACAAATTGAGATGTATTAGGGTTGGAGGCCTCTTCTCTTCTACATTAACGTGTCTGCCAATTCCTACGAAGTGGCATTACGATGTTTCTTTTAATTTCATTACGCAATGAAACTTAATTTGTGGTATCTCGTATATACCTACTGCTTAAATCGAAAACCAAATTTGGAAGATATTGTAATTCGTTTTATCTTGTAGCCATTTTGGTTTCTAGAATAAGCGGACTGATGTTCAGATATCTGAACATGTGCAGGCAGAGAATTTGCTTACAGAGTTGAAGCCATTTAAGAATATCATTACGGGATCACTCTTTTCGGTAATAATGTTCGATATATTTCCTTTTCTTTTTCCAAACTCGGTTTTCTCACTCCCCCAAACCCTCCGGGCTCAATTAAAATACAATGTTTAAATAGTTGTAAGATATAATGATCATTGATGACGTTAATTATTTTAATAAGAAGAGAATTTGAAAATATAAAGCAATTACCCCGTTTCGCTTCGCACAGAGACATCGGTCTATATGCCACGTCTTCGTATTCATGCGACTCAACATGGCAGGACCTGTTAGAATCCTACAAATTCGTTTCGCTTTTATGACTTCCTTCCGAACAACCTCATGGCCACTCTAGTAAACCTCTCATTCGATGAATATTATTCACATGGAGGAAGTTTCATATATATCTGTATAAAAAAAGGAACTAGTAGGAAGTGTGCAAACGCTATGATTTTATTCGCTCGGACATTGAATTAAAACAAATTGCATTGTGTTAGACCACCTATAAGTTGCATTATCCCATTACTTGCTTACAGAGCTGAGCCTTTCTTGAGGAGAAGCCAAACTGCAGCTACTGAAGAACTTCACAGCATTTTATGGAACCCGAAGGTTCAAAACCGTGTACACAAGAGCCCTCCACTGGTCTCTATCCTGAGCCATATCAATCCAATCCATACCATACCATATCTCTCGGATCCATTTTAATATTGTCCACCCACCTACTCCTTGGTCTTCCCAGTGGTCTCTTTCCTTCTGGCTTTCCCACCAATATCTTACACGCATTCCTCTTCTCCCCCATTGGATTATCCTATATAATACATAAAATAAGGATAATGGAAGCACTGAGCAAAATATTTATAAGAAAATTACTTAAAGATGATTTAGAGGATGTGTTCTACATAATTATGGCATATAGTCTGCCCACACGGGCCATACGCAGATGTCAGGTTTCCCTTTGTCTAGTTACGGCTCATCTGAAGATACAGGTTTCCTTCCAGATTGTTCCAGTGTGCAAGTGTAACTCTGGGAATCGTGGATTTATGAGACTTGTGTTCATGTATGGCACCGCATGTTTCGAACCAAAGACTTTAGAAAGGTCCCTTATTTGAAGTGTTATATGGAAACATTTTATCATCAACAGCGGTATTGTGTAATAGACCTGTAAAAGAAATGTCTGGGGTGTAGGTATAAATATATTTAGCTCTCAGTTTCAAGTTGAAAGAAACTGGTTCATGCATTGAAGCCATGGAGCTGAATCTTCCGCGATAGGCCAATAGTTGAGCTCAGGTACACAAACTGCAGCATATTTCAGAACCACACGGTTCATTACCCCCTCCAGTGGCCCCAGTCTGGAGCCAGGTGTATCATATCCGTAACTTTTCATCTCATTTACTCAATATACATTTTAATATTATCATTCCATATGTACCCAAGTCTTCCTAGTGGTCTCTTTCCTTTGGTTTTCCCATCGTAATGTTTTATGCACTAATAGCTACCGTAGAGCCGGGATAGCGGCTGGCTGCGGGCTGGAGGGCGGAGGGGTTGGAGTTGGCCCATATTCGCCTCATATTCATCCACTGCCCCATACACCTTCATGGCTTAGTGCTGAAATTTGTTGAGCAGAGGGACAGCTTTTCTTTTTTACCTTACCTTAACGTTGTCTTTCCAGGGGGTGAAGCGGCCGGGGCTTGAAGCTGACCACTTAACCTCTAGCCAGTACCGAGATCAAGAAAATGTGGATCTATACATTCACTCCCCCATACACCTTCATGGCATAGAGCTTGAATTTGCTGAGCACAGGGACAACTTTTACCCTTTTACCTTGCCTTGACGTCATGAATACAGTTCCCATTTGTTAGTGTCTTCCACAAATATTTGAACTTCGCCTCATTATCTTCCCATCGCAGGTCAGCTGTGTGGATTCATGGCGGAGAAGTGAGAACGGAGCGTTTTCTCAAGAGAACTTCGGATTCCAATGCTAATTCTCATTTCACCAAATGTTCCATGTTCATTAATCATCCTATTATCGATTAATCATCCTATTATCGAAACATCTTCCTCTCGACACTGACAGCGTCGTTAAATAGCAAACTTAAAAATGTTACAGGATTAATTATCAGATATGATTTTTCTCTCAACGTACGTATAGTACAGCATAATATAGGATAAGTATATACTTAGTTTCTTTTTTATTGTCTTACATAAAAACATTCTTGCTAGCGTCTAATAGGGCTCTTGGTCTTTTATTATAAAGATATTTGTTCCTCTAGTAGAGTAACATTGTTATGATGGCTAGGATGGGTGCGGTTTAGGGTACCTGTGCAAGGATATGTCCCTAGGGTAATGCCCCTTCCCGAATCATAATGAAACATCTTCCTCTTAATTAAGTCAAAAACGGTAACATTTATTAATTCAATAACATAATAAGTTCAAGCAAATTTAGTCTGCTCGCAATCACTTCGTCTCTATGCTTAGGTTAACTGGCCAGGCTGTGACAAACAGATCTCTACTTACAGAATACAGCAACTTTCTCGATGGCGAACATGGTGGTGCTCAGTGCGTGCAGAGGTCTGTTGGTCAACCGGCTCCCTATTGCCTGCCGCCTAAGTATAGCGGTTCCCCCTGGAGGATGGACCGTTTATCTAACCTGACTATCAAGAAGAAGTGCTTCCACTTCCATTGTATAACGCATAAATACTCTATATTTTCCTCAGGCACATTGTAACAGAATTTACAATTGGGCAGTCATCCTTCTTTGTCATTTTTTGCTTTCTAAGCTAACAAGTGATTGCTTGACACCGTACAGACGTCATAGGATATGTGATTCATCTCCTCATGACATTTGTTCCAAGCTTCAGTTTAGTAATATTATTCATCATCACGACATCCGTCGTTAGCCCTACTGTGTAGGAAGTCAGTGTGGTCTGACTTCCAACTTTACTCACTCTGTGTTTTCCGCATCCACATCCTACATCCTGTGCTCTGGCTACAGTTCATACAATTTGCTTGTATACTCATGTGATTAATTAAATGATTAATAATTGCCAATATACAGTCAATATATATTCCTCAATATCCTTATTCCTTTAAGGTAACATCAAAATATTGTATACATGTCAGGTGAATTCGTTTCATAACATCAGCGTAGACCAGAACTTTTGTGCCCCATTCGGATTGAATCTTCTGTTTTTTCTTGAACTTCGTAATGGCTAAGTCCAAAGCAAAGTGAAATAAATGGGCGTGAATCTTAGTATTCTTTGAAGCTGACACTTCTGCACTGAAAGATTGCAAATGAAAAAAAAAAGAAAGAAAGAAAAAGAAAAAAGTGGTCCTGTTTCCGTTATATTAAAAACCTTTACCAAATGTAATTGCGAAATTTCATTTATAATATTTTGTGAAAACGTTTTCCTATGTGGCCCGCTCCAAGGCTATATCACATGACAGTGAAGTTAATGCAGTGTAGTGGAGTGAAACATCTTAGTTGGTGAGCAGTCAGAACTGCTGAGGTTTAATCGTTAATGAGCAGTTGGTGCTAGAAGCTGGTAGCTGAGGCATGGGGATAGTTCGTGAACCCACAGTAAGGGGCACATCTGCTGTTGAAAGCCATTACTAGGGAACAACCAGTGAAGAGAGAGCAGACTGAGAAGACTTAGTTTGTTCTGTAGTAATTTGTAGAGAGTGAATTGGCGATAGCACTATAGTTACTTGTTAAGATCTGTGAATGGTCAGCGAATCCAGTTACCAATTACACGTGGCAGTATACATTTATGGTTACGGCTATACATGTGTGAAAACTTTGTATCACAGAAGTGAAACAGGGATGACTTGGATGGTTGTTTTCCACTTTCATAAAGACATCAATGAAGTGAAGAGGAATCTTGCTCCTATTGGTAGGACAGTACATCCTGAATACCATGAAGTACACATGGATTCAATGATTTAAATGTGATTTCCTTCAATCTTGTGGTACTTAAAAGCTGTACACCTAACACTGACAGCAAATGTATTTGTCGGTATTTCCAATATTAATGTGTACTGTACACAACTAATTATAGTTTTATAAATGTATGGTCTGAAGGTAGAAGGCAGGTTTATTTTCAGATGTGGAGAGGACTGCAGATCTGTTGGATGAGAGCTCAGGCAGACGGGAACCAGTCAGTGGTCAAAAGTAGCTCAGGTAGTGTGAATCTTATTGCAAGAGGTAATCATTCTATTGCTGTTAGTAGAAAGAGTCCAGTAATTGTATATGTGATTGTGGTTAATGAAAGAGAGTGAACAACATAAGCATTACACATGTAAGAAACAATTAAGAGAGAATTAACAAAATATATGTCATTTTTATTTCTAGGTGTGACAAATAATGTTCTGTCTGCCAATTATGCTATTGGACCAATGAACTCAACTGCAAATGTAACTGAAGTGAGGCAGAATGTGCAGGGGGTGAGACAGCCATAGCTTTTACAAGATGTAGTAAAGGAAACATGTTGAACTTTAGTGGAAAATAGAAAAGTTAGGAAGAATTTACATATTCGTAGGAAGGAGTAGGAGCATGCTTTTGATGAGAGAGTACCAGAAATTAGTGATGCTTGTGCATGTAACTGTAGCAGAAAATGAATGGTTAATCTTAAAGAGGAAGAAAAAGAAAGAAAGAAAGAAAGAAAGAAAGAAAGAAAGAAAGAGTTAAGAGAGTTTTCTCCACTGTCTATGTGGTCCATGCCGCGGCTATATAACGAGAGTCTGTAGCGAGAGGAATGAGAGAATTGGAACTGGGAGTTCAGAAGATTGAAGAGAATGGCAGTACAATGGTGTACAACAGAAAGAGAGTTGAGTCAGCTGTTAGTAGGAGAAGAGTTAGAAGTCAGCCTGTGAAGACTTTGTGTGCTGTAGTACAGTGATATCTGGAGTGTGACTGTGCTAAAATCCGTTGCCAGGAAACAGATAGTGAAAACATTGTAAAGGTATAGCAATTGTTGAGACCTGTTAACCCAGCAACAACTAGTGAATGCAGATATAGAAGTCTTTATTTTGGGTTCCGTAGTTACAGTAATCTTTAAGAGCATCTAAACCAGTGAGACAATTTAGTTATGACCTGTGAGTGTTCAATGAATGTATTCACCAATCCAAACCCCAAGCAAAGTCACTAATACACGTGACAATACTTTTTTATTTTAAAAATGTGTAAGGATTTTCTGGCATAATGGTGCTTACTGGTACAACCCAGGTATAATATGACGTGTTTTTGTTTCAGTTACAAATTCACATTATTGAAATATGGCCTGACCAATACAGTGATGGGAATGGACTTCATGAGGTGCGCTCAGGACTCTTGGCATTGTATTGTAAGCCTTGTGTAGCAGTGTTACGTAATGCGTAGGAGTGCTGGTTCTAAACAATCGTAGTATTGTAAGCCTTTGTTTAATTTTTGTTGCATCCGTTCACAGTGCTAGTGGATGAATCCTTTCAATAGTGTTCAGTGAACATTGTGTATTAACACACAGAGATATTGGGTTTTCGGACTTTATCCATCGTTCTGGTTTAAGATAACTAAGAAAAACACGGAGTTTTGGAAACTGGATTTGTTTCCGTCCTCAGGTGAGGGAAACACCTATTCCCTTAGAAGGAGCTAGCCTCAATCACTGGTCCAGTGATTGAGGCTAGCTCTTTCTAAGGGACCCAACAGAATAGGTGTTTTCCTTCACCTGAGGATGTATATTAGCTTTTACCAAGTAATTTTACTGTTTGTTGTAGACTGTGTGAGATGATGGTGCAGCAGCATCTTGTTTGAAAATGAGCTGTCCCTCCACATCCATGAGGGGCTGAAGTGATTGGTGGTCTTCCATGTTCATTGGACATATGCACAGCAAGATCTTGCAGAGTTAATAGAAACTTAAGGGGGAAGATGACTGACTTTCAGCAGGCTTATAAAGAGATGATCCAAGACCTGAGAGGGAACAATGTGCAGGGAACTGAAATACAGTGAAACCCTCATCAGTGCTCTTTGATGCGAGATCAACCTCAGGTAACAATCAGTTTTGGTGATGTATCAGTAATCTCATTGTTAAATTACATGCATGCAAGAATCCACTTCTTGGCAACGAGACCTTGAATAGGAGATTGACTGTGTGCAGACCTGCATCTGTATGCCATTGTAACCATCACCAAGCACAGAAACATGCCTCTCTGTTGACAGTCGTATGTCACGGGAAGTCTGGATGAGGATTTCCAGCACTGGAAGAATTGCAGCCGTTGTGTAAGAGGTTCATCTGCCAGCACTACAGACAGTGTGATGGGTAAACTACCGCATCGTTCTCTGCCACAAGATACCGGTCTTGCAACTAGCCTTAGAAATGTATGTCTGATAAATATAGATTGATATCCCTTTAGGTATCATTATTATGATGCTTGAAGTGTGAGTTGGTCTAAATGAATGACTTGTGTTTGAATTCTATGTAAGAAATTTAGATTTATTTTGTCCAAAAGAAAAATTGGTACAGGAGTTGGGGGGGGGGCGGAGGAGGAAAAGAAAGAAACCGATTTCAGCCTAATGCAATATGTGAGTATTGAGGGCAGAAGTTTATGCCATTAACTCTGTGTGCACCAAATTTTCGGACAGCTTGGGACAAAATACGACTTAAAGGATGTATATGTACAGCTGTAACCTAACCTAAATATCTTATAACAGAATGTACTCTTAACTTAATGTGACCTCCCTAATCTAACTTCTAACGGAAACTAACAAAACTAACCTGAGCTAACATGTCGAGGAACATACATGTACATATGTCCATAGAACAGAAATGGTCATACTGCCATAAGCTTTATGAATTTAGCTTATTGGTTTATATGAGGTTCACTCTGCACTATACCTCACCATCCATAGGAGTCACATACTGAGCATTTCTTTTGCTAAAGTCAAGGTCAGTGTAATGTAATAAAAGTGGTCCAATTTTAGGAGAAGAGATTGGATATAGACCTGACATGTTGAAAAAGATATCTTGGCACCAATTATATGGTTGTGTGGATGCTGATAAGGACATCTTATGGTGATTATTACTGTGGTGAATGAGGGGCTGTATACTTTGATGTTAATGATATGTTAAGTGTAATGCCAAACTTGTACTTGAGATTGTATTGCTTATTTTGATGTATGTGCAGCTGGCTGACTGGCTATCATTGTTTGATAGGTCTTGTAAAGTGCTATCTACTTGTATGTAGATTCTAATTTTGTTATTGCTGTTTGGAAAATATTTCAATATACCTGTAGACAGAAATATGTTTGTCGTCAAATGACATAATTGGACATTCTCAAAATCACTGTCAATTTGTCAGTTATGAAAAGAATGTCCCACTTATTAGATAATGAATTGATTTGTGTTAAGGCCAGGAGAGTTCACTGATTGACTGTTGTTATAGTTGCATGAATTTCTGTTCTACTTGCTGCCTCAGTGGCAGAGCATATGGATTGTGTGTGAATGAACTGTATGTTACCAGTTTCTGTTAATGTTGATAGTATCATGTCATTTATTGTAATGGTGTGAACGCAGTTTCTGAGGACATGAGCAATCACAGTATTTTCCATCAAGATATGTATATTTTTTTATAATGGTGTATTGTTATGTCTTTATTCTATTTGAACACAATTGTGTACATGTTCACCAGCAGTCAACAGAGTTCTGTGAGTGCTGGAGTATTTGGAAATGTGCATTAAATCAGATGTCTGCATATTGTGGATGGAAGGACATTTCTACCACCATCTTGACTTCATCATGTGATGTGTGGTGGTGATAGTGGTGAATGTGGT